TGTGAAAGTCCACACAAATCCAGGCAGTAGGATTTAGGGAGATTTAAAATTTTCTTTTAATAATGTGGGGGTTATAAGAGCTACAAGTTATTTTCTGAAAGTGAAGATAACGTGGATTTATCCAGCTATATGGGATTTTCTGGATAGCGAATGATATGAATATTACGCTTCTAAATAGACAGAAGAAAATGGAGGAAATAACATCCAAAGTGTATTGAGGTGGAGAGGAAGGTCTACTTATGTCATTTCCATGCTGTCTCACATGAAACTCATGTCCCACCTTTGACACATTTCTGGTTAAGCAGATTAGACCTGCTAATTGATCTGAATCAGTTTGGTCTTGGCGTGACTTAAGTTAGACAAGAACAAGAGAAACCGATAACTGTATGTAGGATGTAGGTAAATTTGCAAAGAGTAAAGGAGTATCCTTCCTTAACTCTCTAAGTAATCTTGTATTGGCACTGCCCAAAGTAGTTGGAGAATTCTGTCAACATCTCATGTTACTGCTGCACTTGACCCAAAGAGGGCGCACTTGTTTACTTAGTGGGGCATCCAATAACCTACTTGAAAAATGCAGTGAAAGCACGAGTTCTGGATTTAGATGATTCAGGTTCAGTTACCAGCACATCTGCTACTCCCTAACTCTTGGTTATTAACCTGCTTAGCCTCATTAATCCTGAATTTCCTCATGTACACAATGGGACTTGAATGGAAAAAAAAAATGAATCTCAATTAAAAAAAAAAAGAGGAAGCCCATTTAGGACGACATGACATGGCCAAAGGTGAGGCTTGTTACAGATGTCAGTCTGCCTTCTTCACTGTAAGAGCTTCCGGGCCTGGTAGTGAGGGGTAAGGGGGAGGTAAGGAAGAGAGGGGGGGTAGGAGAGGGGGCAGGCGGGGGAAGGGGGAAGAAATGACCTAAACATTGTATGCACATATGAATAAAATAAAAATTAAAAAAAAATGGGACTTGAATGGAATTTACCTTACAAGGTAGAAAATATTGAATGAGATAATGCACATAAAGTACTGATTATGGCATATGAGAAATATGGGGCATACAAAATTTCTAGCTGCTGCTACTGTTGTTATTATTATCAGTCATGGTATATTTAAGTTTACATTTTCAACTAGCCCAAAGGCCACTGAGGTGCCTACTCAATGACAAAGATTCTTCCAATTTACATGTAAGGCAAATCTGTTATAAATGCTGTAGCATATGAGAACCAATTCCATTGCTAATAATTAAATTTGTTTAAGTTACATTCTCTCTTATTCCCCCACTCGCTTTGCTGTATTGCAGTTCATTGCAAATAAGCAATAAAATTGAAACCCCTACTTTAAACATCTCTGTCTATAATATCCTGCCATACATACACACACACACACACACACACACACACACACACACACACACACCCCTTCACTATGAGGAATTTCCCCATTAGGCAATGAAAGGAATTGTTTATGAAACTTGGGAAGAGTCTTTGAACTGACCTTGGTATCAGCAAGTCACTGACCCATCAATTCAATAATACAGGGAACACTGCTAAACCAGGATTAGGCTTGACCTCTCAAAGGAGCACAAATTGTAAAAGAAATGACAAGCATCAAGGCCATGCCCTTTGCATCTTAGCACCTGGACTGATTGAAAGGCACAAGGTTCACACCCAGCAGTGAAGAGATGCCTTGGTGTGAGGCTTGGGTCAGAGTGTAGAGAAGTGAGAATACAAAACTAGTTTTAGAGAGCTTAGAGGCCCTTTCAAACTAAGAAATGAAGTTTCTCTTGCTCTCACTGCCCTTCATGGAAGAGGACACACATGATCCTTCTAGGACAGTTGTTATCTTAGGAAGGAAAGAAGGAAAAAGGCTCTGCATTTTTTCAACATCCTCTGCAAGGGAATGCTTGAAGGCTGAGAAGTTTTTCAACCTACTAGAGAATTCCTGGAGCCTCCTGTTGTTCTCTTAAATTTGCAACAGGCTCTCAAAATTTCTCCCATCCTCTCTCAAAGACTTCTTATGGGTGAAAAGGGAAAATAAGTAAATTTCAGAAATTGGCTATTGGGTTGAGTTAACTTAACCCAGGGGGGAAAAGTGAGAAGTGAACCTTCCTTAGGTGCTGTGGATCAGAAATTCAGGGCTTGCTAGCATCTGCTTCCACTGCACTCTGTGTGCTAAGCTATTGGACTGATCTAGGGAATTTAGCCAACCAGTAACTAAGGTTGTGAGTTGGTCTTCAATAGTCAGCTTCATTGCCAATTATTTTTCATGAAGTCATATTATTAGTGGGAGTTAAGCTTTTGAAACAACTGTTAGAAATTCAGAGTACAAATCAGTAATGATGAGTCCCCAAAGGACTCTACATTTTGATTTCATTGCTAACCAGTTAAAATGAAGGTACTGCTGTCTAGTTGGATAGGATTAGCTTCTAAGAAGTGTCTGTAGCTATGAATAATTCATCTGTTCATAACACAAAATAGAACCTGTAGGTTTTCATCAGAGAGCTAAAAGTAAAACACAAAGGAGCCAAGAAAATGAAACACACACATACACATGCATACAAAAGGCACTGTACCTTTGCATGCTTCTTCTTTAAAGAATTTAACTCTTTCTGTTGTTTCTTTAAATGCTTCAAATAAGCCTGTAAGGGTGGGGGGAAAGAGGATCCAAAATAAGGTTTATTTAGTAATAAAAATGATTATACTTGATGAGAAAAATATGTTAGTTTTACCAGAATGTGTAGTATAAGTGCTTGCCAAGTGAACAAGCAATTTTACCTTCATTTGTTTTAAATCTTCTATCCTCACTTGGGGGATAAGTTCAATACCTTAAAAAAAGTCACAAAAAATTAGAATAATAGATTATATAAAATTCAGTTTTAAGATCTGATCCAAAGAAGTAGCTTTAATGTAATGTGATGGATATAAACACCTTAAATTCCTACTGCAAAGCATTTAATTAGATCATTGAAATGCTTAGTGTCTTAGGTTCCCTACCAACAGAAGATTCAGGCACACATGACTTATTGAGGTCAGACTCTCCAGAAAAACTGCCAAGAGAGAAACAGGATAGAACATGGGGAAAAGGGAGGGTATACTTGTAGCTAAAATCCATCCTCAATCTGGTCCTATGGAAGCTCTTTGGTATAAACTGTACTCAGGTATCACTCTACCTGGATGAAGGAAAGCTGGGCTTTTGGGACTGAGTATGAGTCAGCTGAGAGCTTCAGAGGTTTTATAAAACTTTCCAGGCAAGGGAACTTTCATAGCCTCAGGGCAATTCTGGAGAAGGAACAACTGTAATTCCCAATCAGCCAACACTCTAAGCAGCTAGGGGATGGGCTAAGCAATCCTGTCAAGGAATCAGATCAGGCCTAACAGCATCCATTACAATTACTTTTATCTTTACATTTCAAGGCACATCATACCAGTCATCCCAACTCCATTCCCAACTTAATCATCACTAAAGAATAAAATGGTTTTTTTGCTTCTTTTACCAAATTTAATCTTAGCACTTAAGCAATATGCTGTTGAGTGAAGCACTGCCTTTAGCATGCAGGAAATAATGAAATTAAACCACTGTATAATAGGATGCTGCCTTGGGAACCTAGAGTAATACAGTCATCTTGCTATCTGAGTTAATGGTAGGCCACATATTGTCATGGCAACCTTGGTTGTAGAAGAATCCTTAACTGATTCAGTTTGACTGCAGATTTTCATCTTAGGCAAATAAAATGAATGTGCACTCTGTACTAGAATTTATTTCCATTAGAAAAAGTCAGGTATGATATATTCAAGACAGATAGGCATGAAGTTCCAAGCTCTTGGCTTTCTGTTTAATTCATTTTAAGCAACTCTGTGAGGGTGTAAAGGCTGTAGATGGAAAGTTTTGGCTGACAGAAATCATTGTTGGGAACTATAACGTTTTAGGATAGGGTATGACGGGTACAGGGCTCATTTCTATCTCTTTATGGCAGATGGTGAGTGAGAGGCAGTGTAGGGCAGGGGGGTGAGTCCCAGCATGGCTAAGAGTTTCTTATCTGTGGGTCTCAGTTGTCTTGCCTGTAAAATGAACACATGGAATCTGGGAGATATACAAGACCCTCCAGAAATCTAGCTTGATTTAGACTGATGAGACTTTCTTTTCCTGTTTTGGTCTTGGTTCAATTAAATCTTGATGATCAGCTACCTTCAACAACATGTATCTCCCTCAATCATATTTTGCACTGTTGGAAAAAGAAACAAAAATAACTTATAAAAATTTTGGTTCCCCTAAGTGGTTTATTTTATAATTAAACCTAAGTGGTTTAATTATAAAAAACTCCACACCACACAAAATAGGAAATCAGTTCATGCTCAGTTCTGTCTATATGCTTACAGCAGCATGATCAATAGAATATTTGATGATTATGGAAGTCCTGTGTATGAGGTGTCTAATAGTGAGCCACCAGGTATATGTAGATCTCAAGCACCTGAAATGTGGCCAGTGTGAGTGGGGCTCAAGCTTTAATGTTTAAGCCACACAAGGGTACAGGCTACTGTCTTGGGTGGTATAGAAATACAGATTCCTTGGCATCAAAATGGGTTAAGCAGCATATTTTGGCCTCCAAAGATTCTGGCTAATTGACATTTCACTATATAATGCTTTTGTTCTTATCAACATGTTTCCTTAAAAGTTACTTTGTTGTCTCTTCAACCCCAATTTAGAAATTAATTAGAGGTTATGTTTTCTTATTCTCTTGTTCTTAAAATGTAAAAAACGGAAATAAGATAGCAAGGTGTGGTCCTGGCTTTGTGAATGTAGGTACAGGACAAACAGTTCAGGGCTTCCTTCAGAGATGTCTGTAGCAACCTATCCATTTCATATCAGCTCATTCTTTCTGGTTTCACTATGGACCCTCACTTTCTTTTTCCTTCTGTTTCTCTTCATTAGTTCTTACCAACATGCTACTGTCCATGAGAATATTTTATGTTTTTAGTCACCATATTTTTCTGTCTAGGGTTCTACTTTCATCACCCAAGCATTCCTGGTTTAAGCAGTACTTTCATAGGCATGACTTTTCTGAACACATCCATAAATTCTTATCTAACGTAGACCCCTCTCTGTCTTTCTTGTTTCTAATTTTCTGCTATTCATTCTCCCTAAGTATTCTTATTCCCCTCACCCCCTCTTTGCTCCTCCATCTTCCTCTTGACCATACCACACATCTGCTATCACATTTTTCAGTCCAGGTGTATCAGTGACAGCTTAACTAGAAAATGTGCAGGGCAAAAATCATCTTCTGGGCCAAAACAAACTCCTCCTCTTGACTCATCTACTTCTCTCACCATCCATCTCTGGGATCTCACCTCAAAGTCTCTGAGTTACCATTTAACCTTTTCTATCTTAGGGCCCATATCCAAGCTACCAACTTTTATTCTTCCACCTCAATCTTCTTCCCCTTTGACTACTTCCAGCTTAATCCAGGCCCTCACCACTATCATTCATTCATCAGCCATTTACTTCCTAAGAAAAGAAACTGCTAGGTCTTTCTTAGCCATGGCTCCAAGGAAGCACTGATGATGAGGCATGGCTCACCTGCACTAATCTCTTTCTCTGGTTAATACTCTATAAACATAATGTGATAAGTGTGATAATAGTGGCCTGACTACCATTATTCTTAAAGTTCCTGAACATCTTTCAATGAACTCTTCTGCAAAGACTGTATTATTCTTCTTAAAATTCTTCATTGATTGCTGTTCCCCATTGTCTCCTGAGGTGACCCTAGAATCCTTTCTAGACCACAGAAGGAAGTAAACTACTTATTACTAACCACTAGTATGTCCTATGCCCACTTTCTCTACACTTAGTTGCTTCTCATTTGGCTTCCTCCTCAAGTCTCTCTCTAGGCTTTCTTCACCTTTCCCTTCTTGTTCACATCACATCTGTTTCAAGGCCCAGATCAAGGGGATCTTATCCCTGAGTCTTCTCTTAGATCCTTGCTGGAAGGGATGTCTTCTCCACTTCTGTTTTGAGTTGTCAGGCCTCATTGTACCTGCCTGGACTGGCCATTGTGCAGAGACTTGTCCTTATCATCCATCACAGTCATGCAAAGTCCCTGAAGTTATACAGGCATTTCTTGCTAAACTTTGTAGTGTGATTTTGAGGAGGCTTCCAAGTCTCCTGAATAAAATGCCAAAATGAAATGCCCTATAGATCCTCCGGAGTAGAAATGACAGCTTCTTGCCTTCTTCCAGTGTAACCTTGTTTAGAACCAAAGATGAGGCAGCTCAAAACACTAACATGTTCCCTTTTAGAACTAGGATCACTTTTGTCCTCTGGAAATTGGTCACACTGCCTTGTTTTTCAGGCCATGTACACTATTATTACTAATGCCTTTATGTACTTGTGGGTGAGAGACAGGAACCTTAACACAACTCTCTCATTTTCCACTGTCTGTCTGTGTCTGAGTAGTAATGTTAGTAATGACCAGGGCTGGTAAAGCTCTCTGTTCTTTCCAGAGAAGAACAGACAAACAGCTGCAGGGCAGTACAAATTGAGCTTCTCTTGTGTGGTCTTATTTTCTAATTTGTTCACAAAGCTTGATGTATACTTAGGTTACTGCTAAATTACTATGATGCTTTGATTTGGGAAAGTCTGTCCTTCCTTACCTTATGCTGAAGTACTGTGTGTATTTAAGTGATGAAGAACCTGATTTCCCTATACCAAGGACACTGAACTCATACAAATGAGAACTATCTATTATTCTGAGTAATATTCCACTAAGAGAAAAGTAAATTTTTATTAAAGTTAGAAGGGTGAGTTTTGTAAATGACTCAAAGTCAAGAAAAATACTGACTACTTTGGGATGAGTAACATTCAATCAGAATGGATGTCAATCTTAAGTAACCAGCACAACTGTTTTCCTATTTATCATCTGGATACTAGCACATGGGACACCTCTTATGATCTTTTGTTTCATTTGCAGGTAACTACATGGACATGGCCTTCAAATGCTTATTCAATATACAATCATGGGTACTAAGTGTCTATGTACAGAGGGAAATTACCAGTAAAGGAATTTAGAAATGTCCACATAGCCATTACTCTATTGGTTCATGAGCCCACTGTCTGTCCAAATAAGTATGTAGAACAGTATCCAGAAGAGAGTGGAGGTGAGTTTGCTACTAACATTACTGTCTGAAAGGTTCACCCTCCCCCCTATAAAGGACACAAATTTAAATATTGTTTAAAACTACAGATATTGTACCCTGTGTAACTAGGTGCAGGAGCTCAAGCAAATGAAACACAAATGTTGACTTTCTGTTAAACACTTAGGGGAATTAAGCAGCTTGTCTAATCCACAACAAAATATGCTGGTTTTAAGTTTTATGACAGAACAAAAACTGGCAAAACCAACAATTCTAAATCCTTTCATGGAAGACTTCTTAGAAAGAAGCAAAATCACCAGAAGAGGTGAGGAACCCAACAACCCTCTCACCTTTCTTGGCTTCCTGGCCAGAGCTCAGGGCAGCTGTGGTGGTTGGTCTGAGCTCAGAGCTACTCTGAGGAGTCACATTTGCTTTGGTCGTGTTGGCCTTTCCTTTCTTGTCGTTCTTAGAAGTGTCACTGGGTACATCAGCAATGTCACTCTGGAAGAGAAACATTCAGACATGCCACTCACAGTCAAATACCTTACACATTACTTTAGCAAATCCAGTTTATACCCCCATCAGTTTATCTCGTTCCCCTTCTTACTCTTCTACTCTACTAAAGGATATTTGCCTGGCAAGATTAGAGATTAGGTAGCTTCCCGAGGCTAGAGGCAAAGGATCAAGCCAAGGAAGGAACCTCAACTCCTTTCCAAGCAAGATATACCTTCTCTTTTTCTAACTCCTGGAGAGAGTGCTACTTCCACTTCAAACTAAGGAGTCTGGTAATGAGAACATTTAAAAACAAAGAAACAAGCAATATAAGTATACAAGAAATCAGAGAGAAAGTTGGAGTGTAAGGATAAAAAATGAAGAAACAACAATAAATGTCATTTTCATTAATTCACTGAACTGGGTTAGTAGTTCAGTGTATTACAAATATATCCTGCATTTAAACTTTCTTAATAGCATCACAGATGTTTTCCATTTCATTTCTAATGGGGCAGAGATCCCCAAATGTGTTAAGCCACCAGTGGTGAAGTGGCTTTTTCTGCTGGCAGCCACATTTTATTAAATATGCTACATTCTTGTAGATCCTTGAAACTACTGGTAAATTAATAAGATTAGTTTTATAAACCTTATTTATACTTGTTACATTAATTTATTACTTTATTTTGCTCTTTTAATTTTTAAAATAACAGCCTTCTTGGGACATAATTTACAGATTATAAAATTCATTTTCAGGTGTACATACAATTTATTGTTTTTTGGTATAATCTGTACAATCACTGTCAGTATCTAATTTCGGAACAGTATCTACTTTTCATTACCTAACAGAAAAACCTTATAATCATTACTAATCACTTTGTAGTTATAGCCCAACTCCTGAAAGCACAAATTATCTTTCTGTTTCTAGGGTTTATCCATTTTGAACATTTCTTAAAAATAATGTGACCTCTGTGACTGGCTTCTTTCCCTCATTATATTTTCAAGGTTGACTTTAATTAACTATTTTGACTTACAGTTTCAATGCCCATAGCTCTCATTTGGTCTGCTCTCTTTTCTGTAATTGAAAGAAATTTCTTTGGATCTGATAAAGCATCCACAATATCTGAAAAAAAAAGTCAACAAGTTGTTAATTCTTGATTTTTATTGAGAATATCAAGAAAATTCAGCTAATGTATTCTGCAATAATCCTGAACACTTATTACATGTTCTGTTAAGTATCTTCTCCCTGGACATAAGATAGATATAGTGACAAAAGCACAGCTAGTTGTAGAAAATGAGAAAAAAAGGAAAAGCAAAGGTAAAAAGTCAAATTATTTTCACTTTTCTTACCTTAGACATTCCTCCAAATAATGAGGACAAAATGGCAGGGCAAAGTGCCTTGGATTTTGATGCTTCACTTATTTGTGTGACTTTGAGTTAGTTAATTAATGTCCCCAGCCTCAGTTTATTCAGCTGATAATTAGTGCAGATACCACCTGCCCTGTAGGGTTATTCTTAGAATTCAATGAGATGATAAACTGGAAGCATGGGAGACAGGAGTAGTAGCACTTGTTTTTAGACTCCAAGGGGTAGTGTATAATTAAAGTCAACTTAATTTTTGTATATTTTGGTGTAATTTTAAACATGAATTCATATTTAAATAGCTTAAAATTATATAATCTGCTTTTTTATTTATGATTAGGGTGTATGGTATCTGTATATTTCTAAAATCATTTTTGGTGAATAGATAATGGCCCACTGATTTTATGTATCAAACTATTCTCCACTGGTAGGTATTAGATGGACTTTCAATTTTTCTATGAAAGATGACTTCTCAAGGAATATCTTGGTGCAAGAACCTATTTCTTTGTCATTTTCTTTTATCAGGAAATTAATAGTTGAGTTGCATAACAAGTTGTTTATTGACAGGCATTCTTAGCAAACTTTATTCCAATAAATTTTAAGATAGTTGTTGAAGAATTATTTATGAAAAAATAAAGCAGAATTGAGAGGGTGTGCTGGATTAAATAGTCCTTTAGCAAATCCCTGTCCAGAACCTCAGAATGTGACCTTATTCATAAACAATCCTTTGTATATGCTTCAGTTAAGTACTGAAATGAGATCATTCTCGATTAGGATGGTCCCTAAATCTAAAGTCTAGTGTCCTCACAAGAAGATACACAGAGACAAGAAGACCATCTGAGGATGAAGGCGGAAAGTGAGTGGTGCAGCTACAAGCCACCAAGAGCTAAGAAGAGGCTCTTTTCAAGAGCCCTCACAGGGAGCCGGCCTGGCTGACTCCTTGATTTTAAAGTTTTGGCCTCCAGAACTGTGAGGAATAAATATCTACTGTTTCTAGCCATCCAAGTTGTGGTAATTGGTTACAGTAGCACCAGGAAACTAAGACAGAGGGTGAAAAGGACAACTATAAACTTGATTACCACGAGTAATTGAGAAAAACAATTACATTACTTAAATCCTTCGGTATGATTCTGCATACAAAGTCATGTACTTAATTTACAAGACAGATTTATCAATCAGTGTTATCGGGAGTTGCCACCAGCCCCTGGAGACTACCCAAGGTCTTATCATAATTTGATTTTGGGGGAGCCCTACCTAGAACCTCAGAGGTTTTCTTTCTCCCCTGTTTACTGCAGCTTGGCCTTTTCTAAGTCTGAGGTTGCATCATTCTGACCTAGTTGACTCCACACACTGATTAGTAGCTCCCAGGCAAGCTGACTGGGATGTTCTTGTCAGCCATCTGCTGTAGGATTATGTGCTTGTTGTCTAAACTACAGAACAAAATGAGACACTGCAGATATATTCATTTGTTGTATAAATATCATTACTTAAATCTGTCCTGAATTACCAATATTAACAATTCTAGAAATTATTGGTACTTTAATGCCACCAGATCCTGAAATCCTGCCTTATTTGAGTCTTACTTTTTGAAATGTCTTATTTGGGATCTCTTACTTATAGTTACATATTACCTTTTAAAACTAATTTTAAATGCTAATCAACATTCACTGGCAGGAAAATAAATGTGTCTAGCCTAGCCACACCAAACATCTAACAGGGTAGAAAGGTGTACACATTAATAACTGACTCCGCCCAACTAATACTTAGGGCAAGCTAACATAGCCTAGATGCTTGGAAGCCACAGCAGGAGCTCTGGAATCTTCTTTAAAAAGAAACCAGTTTGCTTGATCTCATTTGCTTTTTCCTTCTAGATTTAACCAAAGCTTTACTTATTTGCATTTAAAAATACCATCTATTTCTGGGTGTAGTGCCATTTCCAAAAGGCTGGTCTCTCCTAGTGAAGACTCCCATGTACTCCCATGTCCCCTACCTCCCTTTTTCCCTCCCCGCCCATCCTTCCCTCACATCCAAATAGAGTGGAAAGCATCAATTTAGGTGTCCTGAAGAACTAAAGCGATGATAGCAATTCATTAGTACAGACTTCCAGATACTTGTTGACTTTTCAGGGGAATTTGTTATTGTATTTGTGTGTTTGTTTGTGGAGCCCCAGCTTTTCAAGGCATTTGGGTGCCTCCATGCTGTGCACCAACCTGTTACCTAGTCTTCCCTTCCTTACCTTCACCTTGAGCCACTCCACTAACCCAGTTTTTTTTGTGATAGGGTTTTTCAAGATAGGGTCTCATGAACTATTTGCCTGGGTTGGCTCTGAGCTGCAGTCCTCCTGATCTCTGCCTCCTGAGTAGCTAGATTACAGGCATGAGCCTCCAGCACCCAGCAAAATTTACTTTCTGAGAATTAGATACCAGTGCTGTTCTTTAGCCAGGAGACATTTCCCATCTTGGCTGCTTAGGAACAGAACTCTCTGTGAAGAGTTCAGAAGCTCATGTAGCTATCTACTGTAGTTTGCAAGTGGGTTGTCCTAGAAAAAACTCACATTGAAACGTAATTGCTAATATAATGATGCTGAGAGGTGGTGGAGGCCTTTAAGAGGTGTTTGGGACATGGAGGCTCCACCTCCATGAAGGGATTACCTGTAGTTCATGCAAGAGTGGGTTAGTTACCTTGAGAGCAGGTTGCTACAAAATGTAAAGTCTTTTAGTCCCCTGCTCTCCCTCTGGTCCTTCTGCTTTTCTACCATACAAGGAGCAGCTCCAGGACCTCACCAGAATCTGAGCAGCTGAGGCCCTACTGCCTCTGATGTCTAGCCTCTAGACCTCTACACTAATAAACCCCTTTTCTAGCCAGGTGCTGGTAGCTCGCACCTGTAATCCTACCTATTGGAGAGGCTGAGATTAGGAGGATCTAGGTTGAAGGCCATCCTGGGCAAATAGTTCTTGAGACCCTATCTCCAAAATAACCAGAGGAAAATGGACTAGAGACGTGGCTCAAGTAGTAGAGTGCCTGCTTTGCAAGTATGAAGCCCTGAGTTCAAACTCCAGCTCCACCAGGAAAAAAAAATCTTTCTTTTTTGTGGTACTGAGGCTTGAACACAGGTCCTTGCATTTACTAGATCAGGCACTCTAGCACTTGAACTACATTACCAGCCCTTTTTGCTTTAGTCATGTTTTGAATAAGGGTCTCACGACTGACTGGGACTGTAATCCTCCTACCTATGGCCTCCTGCATAGCTGAGATGAAAGGTATGCACCAGCTTATTGGTTGAGATGGGGTCTTGCTAACTTTTGTCCCCAGCTGTCTCCAGCTGTGATCCTCAGTAGTTAGGATTATAGATGTGAACCACTCTGCCTAGCCCTAAATAAGCCTCTTTTCTTTATAAATTACCCAGTCTCAAGGGTTCTGCTATAGCAAAGAAACTAAGATTCCATTATTGTTTTGCTATTTCCTTGTGTGTTTTGGGAGTTATTATAATGTAGTGATAAGGAGGAGAAGTAATTGAAATACAATCCCTGCCTCTGTTTGCTGAGGGGATGAGGAAGGAAAACAATGCATTCATGTAAGTGGAAGAGAGGCGGGGTGGAAAAACTGGGCTCTTGACATATGTGATGTTAGAGGGGCGATGGGGCAACCAGAGTTCAAAGCCTCTAAAGAGCACCAGATTCAGGAGGGTAGTATTAAATTATGAGCAACTGCAAACAGCAAAGGTCCTGCTCTGTGGGAAGTCACCTTAAGGTGACAGAACCCCAACAAATAGGTGACCAAAACTCCTGTAAATGCTTAAACCCTTCCTAAGGCATTGTCCACACTTGGAAAAGCCTTCATAACATTTTTCTTGTTTCTATGAAGTGATGCCGCCAACATGACATTACTGAGAATTAAAATACATTGACAATCATGTAGAACACATTGCTGCCGAAGTTTATTAGCAATCTTGCAATGTTACTAATGCACTACAGTTCTCAAGCTTCTCAGTAGGCAAGAGATTAAGAGATTTCTTCTTAGGATGATGGATTACTTATGACACAATTATTTACTGTGGCATTTTACACAAACTAAAGGTTAAGCTAAGGTGAAGAACTTACAAGGAATAGATTTTTTCTTTAGCTTGTTAAAAAGTGAAAAAAATTAACGGAGGAGCTGCTGTGGTCAGCTTTGTTCCAAGAGCTCATTTGAGCCTCACTTTTGAGACCTGGGACTATTGTTATCCCAGTGCTGCAAGGAGTTCAGTAATATATATGTGTATTGTATAACTAGCACAAGTTAGATGGCCAGTAGCAAACATTTTTCTGTAGCCTCAAAGAAACAGCATCAAATCAGCCAAGAAAAAAGAGACAGTCTTTGAATCCCCAACTGATTCCTGGAACTTTATGTAGATGGTGAAATGTACTTGAAACCACTTTGAACCACTTTGGGGTGGGGGGAGGAGAGACAGAGACAGAGAGAGAATCAAAGAAAAGTAGGAACGACCCAATTTAAAATCAAAGTCAAAAAACAAAGGGGAGCTTTGAGGACAAGTCCATCCTTTCTGAGCAGCAACATGCCATTCAAGAAGTTTTGGATTTCAGAATTTTGGATGAGGGATGAACTCTTCTAAGCAGATGTCAGCATTCCTTGTGACCAGATGGTTGGGTCATTGATAAATGGTAGTTGGAATAAAAGACTTCAGTGTTCTAGGATTTTTATGATGCACACAATTAGCAAAAGTACTGATTTGTGAATTCATAAAATCACAAATCGTGAACCTGCTAGCCTCTCATAATTCTTCATATCTTGAGAGTATTATATGATATTTTCAACTTTATAATTCTCATTCAGGCCACTCATAGTGTGGTACTAAGCAATAGCCAGTCAATACATCTTTTCCTTTGAGGAAGTATTTTTTAAATGTATAATCACTGAAATATCATTTTACTGATGAAATTAAAAATGATAAAAAATTATATCCTATTCTGTTTATTTGGTTGTATGTACCTAAGTCGATATATACACACACACAACACATACACACTTGGTGCAATAATCTCTTTCAAATAATTCATCTTCAGGAAAGAATCAAAAGTACTTTCAAAACTGTACATGTAGGATTCCTAGGTACAATATTGTATGTGAGAATACAAATCGGAATGACTTAAATGATTATCAATAGCTAAATAAAGCATAAAATGGAATCCTATGTAGCTAAGAAAAATGCAGAAATATCCCATGACATGGGAAACTATTCTCCATTAAGTGAACAAAGAAAAACAAATTAGGCTTCTGAATGAGTATGAGAATAAGATAAAATTTTATTAAAATAAAAGTGTAATCCAAGCACAGCAGATTATGCCTATAATCCCCACAATTTAGGAGCATTGCAAGCTCAAGCTCAGCCTCGGCGACTTAGCAAGACCCTGTCTCAAAATTAAAAAAAAAAAATCAAAAGGAGTGGGAGTGTAGCTCAGTGGTAAAATAAAAAACAAATAAGGATGGAAGTAAATGGTAGTTCACTCTGGGTAAAGGATTTGTGGTTGACCCTATTCTATTCTTTGTGGTATGAGACTCTTTCTCTAATATGTATTCTAGCTTTCTTATCTTTTCTAGAATAAACTTGCTGTACATATTTGTGGAATGAAGTAATGAATCCACACTATCTTTCTTTAGCCAAATAAAATTCTATTGATGTATATGAACCTCGTTCTTTTGGTTTTTTATCCCCTAGAAAACTCTGGAGTGTGATAGCACTGTTTCATTCTGGACCTATTCCTAGAGAGTCAACAGAGAATATCACTCTGCTGGGGAACTCTATAGACTTCCCTCCCCATTGCTGTGATACATAAACACTTAGACCAAAATGTGGATGTTTGGCTATACAAATGAAATATGAACACACCGTAGAAGCAAGAGGATGTAAAGATCAGAAATTTGGAAATAGATAATTCTTATATTCTTCTTTTTAAGGGTAAAACCCTCAAACCTCATAACATCTGCTCTTGTTTTTTTCACTTATAAAAAAACATGACCAGAGAATTCTGAATAAACTGTCAGTGGATATCAAATCTGAAATTCAAACATCAGTTGCGGAGTCCCACCATTAATGGTCACACAGAACAGACATTTGGAACTGTGATAAAAAGGAAGCAGTCACCACGGCATGACAGGGAGGAATACTTGCAGGACTGTCATTAAAGAGATTAATTTGGATCGGTATTTAAATGTCAACACTGGCAATAAGTTGAACTATATCAATGTAGATATTTCTTCAGCATAGATCTATATACACTCACATCTATTCAGAATGATTTTACATTTTTGGACTTTCTTTTATGTAAGTCACACAAGCAGGAGCTCAACAAATGATTTATTTCCCTTTTTAAATCAGATGGCTCAGTTCCCAGGAAGGAATTATAGTTTCATTTGAAATTTAACCCATGGCAGAGGCAAACTTCAAAATTTTCTACCATATGGGTTTATGTAATGTTTCCTAAAATGTATTAGGCATTTATAACACACTTCCTGCTTTCTAAGCTCAAATATGTGGAATATGGTTTCATTTATCTGGTGATGCTTCAAGCTACTGTTGTGCTGTCACACAGGTTTCTGGGGTTGCTGGTGGCTTCCAGACCCATACCACAGGCCTCCTGTCTCCTTCTCTTACTGTTTACCCAGCCCCACAGAACTCTCTCCTGGCCTCAATTGTAGCTTATTATATCTGTTTCTATGTGATGCAGCTTCTGATGTGCCTTTTTTTTTTAAATGAAAAACAAAGTCAAAGGAGGAAACAGTTGTAAATAGATTTTGTGTCTGAAAACCCCCCTAGCTTCAATAACTTTTTGAGCCTGCATTCAGGCTGCCTCCAGAGCAGCATGCATGACCAGAACCAGACAACCCCATATTCTCCAAGTAGGATACTGATGTGTTCTAGCTTAGAAGAGGAGTCATCTTTATCCACAGACACACACTCTTTCTTGAACCTTTCTACGCGTGAGGGTACTATAAGGATGACTACTTAACCAGAATGCAAAGAGGGAAGTAATACTATTACTGTCATTTTACAGGTGAGGAAATGAGGGATTCGAGGGGTTAGAGCATGACCCAAGTTCACCAGCTAGTGGTAAAGAATTAGGATTTGAACTCTTGGCTAATTTGACAGGCACACTGCTCTGTTTCCTATGGGTCAACAGACTCTGAGATGGTTAATGTTACTGGCTATTTGGTGGCTACAAAGAGTGATCTGTTTGGTACAAGCAAAATCCTGTGACTTGATCCAGTTTGGGTTCCTCCCATTAATTATCTTAGTAAAGCCAATGTGGATTGACGACTGTTAATTAGGGAGAAAATTCAGGCATGTTGATAACAGTTCAATTTAAATCTTTTAATGATACCAATGAATAAGATATAATTTCATATTATTTATTTTTCTCACATTGATTAGCAGTATAAAAACATCCTTCCTAAGATGTATTTGTAAAAATTGATAAGTAGCATGAAATTATATGTTGAAATAAGAAAAGAGTAAGATAATCCGTCTTTGTCCTTTCATTTGTTACTGTGAAATCTAAGGTTTCACTTTATCCTTGACTTCTTCAAGACTTCCAGGGTTGGCACACTGGCAGGAAGAGACATTATCACTTTTAAGCATGAACAAAATTTATAATCTTGTAATTGAGGTCTTCATTATACATCATATTCTATAGTCAAGAGTTTATCTTACCTCCAAATCCATCAGGCACATATGTTTTAAGAACAATATTGCAGAAAACTGTTGGCAGTGATAAAGGTTTGTTTCCCTCATTTCGAAGGGAAATGTGTCGATAGCCTGCTTGGAGGCCATCCAGGGGAAGGATCCTCTGGCCAATTAGCTTGTTGTTGTCATCATACACTGCTATTCTCAAGACAGCAAGGTCGGGCAGGATCACCTGCAAACCAAGAATAGGACTTTTCATTACTTTTTGTAGTGCAGCTCTCAAGAACTATTTCTCCAGGAATCTGGACAAAGTCCATACTTTTCTTAAGCTCCCCCTTATGATGAAAACAGAAACAGGGTCCTCCTGCATTACGAAAGTGTGCCTTATAAGCTACGATACTCAAGACACTGAGAAAGGAGAGATGGCCTGATGTGGCGGTGCATGTCTTTAATCTTAGCACTTGGGAAACAAAGGGGATTGTGAGCTGGAGTCCAGCCTCAGCTACATAATTCAGACCCTGTTTCACAACCAACTGTAAAAGCCAACATCCCACCTCAAACCAATACCCCCAAACCAAACCAAAAAAAAATGTTAAATGAAATGGATGTTAAAAACCATGACTTCAAGCCTGTCCTCCTTCCTCATCTCTACCCAAGCCACGGGTAATAAAAAGGAAAGCCTGAAAAATAGAGTGACTTTTCTTAATCACAGAGACTGTCAGTGACTGAGCTGGGCCTGGGAATTGGTACTTCTAATACTGTGATCTTTCTATCCAGAAGAACCTGGGTTGGTTCTGACCTTAGCTCTGCCTACTTTTAAGACTATAGAAAAGATCTTTGAAGAAATGCTTCACATATAAAAAGCATTTTATAAATTAATTTAGATTCTCTTTTATCTCTTGCACTCCTCAGTTTTGGAAACATTTTGGATATTAAAGGAATAGGATAGTGTTACTATTCTTATAGAAATAGGACATTGAAGGAACAGAGGGCAACTGAACACATTAATATACTTTGATTCTAAGACATCTATGTATTCCAGCCACCCCTAAATTGAATAAATGGACATAAAATCTCAGTTCAGATGGCAGAGTCCCTATTAAGATACAAAATTAGCCAGATAATGGAAGAAAATCCAATGTGTTTTAATAAGGAATGCCTTTTTATTAGCTAAGAGCAACCAGGGGATTTCGGCTGATCTGAGTACTGTGTCTAAAGATAGACAATGGTGTGCTTGCTTTTTTAAACACAGAGAACATAATTTAACTCCAATTATACAAAGATGAAGAGAAGTCCAACTAAAATTCAGCCCATTTCTCTCACTCTTCTTGTTATGTGGTGGATGGCGGCTTGGGCTTTGCCTCTCTTGCCAAACAATAGTAAGAACAAGAAACAAGAAAAAATTAAAGAACTTGACACCAGTGAAAGCAATTTAACTTCTTAAGAACAGTGAAGGATCCAGAATTGGCATTTTGTTTCTAGGGCCAGAGATATAGAAACCAAATTAGATATTTCCTTATTTATAAAAAAAATGCCTGAATTTGTAGAAATGGGTGTAGGGATTATTCATTATGGCAAAGAGCACTCTTCCATACCAGCAAAAGACCCAGCTATAATAAATTGGGAGAATCAGGAAATAAAAAAAGCAAAATTACAGCTAATTTATACCACATCCCGACAGGAGTAGAGGTGACAATGGGAGTTACATGGATAATGGTATTCACATGTTAGGGTGAATTTAAATCTCAAAATCAACTGTTTTATCAAACCTATATTGATCTCCCTTAATTTGGTTTCTGTAAGCCAGTTACTCCATCTGAAATGGATAATCCCTACTTTATTAAGACAAGAAACTGAATATCAGTGTTACATGACAAACACATGGAGCAGAACCACCTGGCAAACCTATCCCTAAAGAAGTAAGAAATTACTTGCTTAGGACAACAGAACAAGCAGGAGAGAGAAATGGACTTTGTTGGAGACAGTGAGTACATTTTCAATGCATCTTCAATTGACAAGATGAAGAGGTTAAGAATTGAACATTGGAGAAATGACTGGTTATTCTTAGGATCCAGCACACATCACTGGAGAGAAAATGTAAAACAATGGACACTGCATCTGAAACACAATACTTGTGTGTAGCAGCAGGTGCATCACTTTCTAAAGGGACAAGAAGAATCATACCAACTGGATCACACAATGACACTGATGGGCCTTAGGTTTGGGTGCAGCATCTTGCCTGAATAAACAGTGCAAGTTATCACCAGGAGGAGAATCCTCCAATGCATGATTGTGTCCACCAGAGAGCGTACATTCTGAGCAGATTGTAAACTAAGAATTTGGGCATTGCCACATTAGGGCAGGCCAAGGAGGAAAGAAGAGTCAAAATGAGCTAAACAGAAACAATAATTGGATGATAGCTACAGGAAACATCTGTTAGAAGAAAGGAAAAAAGAAGATAGTGGGGTGAATTATCTGTCCATATGTCATGTACTATCTATGCACTAAATCATGTCTCCCAAGTCATTAGAGTTACTCTGATACATTGATAATGTCCTACCTTCCGAAACACAAATGACTCCTCATTGTAAACTGGATTGAGTCCATTGTTCATAACCATGCGGGTTCGGAATTCCTTGCGTATAGTGTCAGTGGGCAACCCATACATATCCACTTCTACATATGTGCCAATCTTCTTATCTGATAAGAATTGTCCTGATATAACCTGCAGTAACACAGACAGAGGATGAGAGAAAAGTGAATTCTGGGTAAGAATCAGTGGTGAAAAATAATCAGGAAATATGGAGTTAACAGTGGAAATATGTATTCATTCTTTATTAAAGCAAAAAATAACTGCAAGTAGAGGTTCTACCTTCTAAAACTCTCTAGAAGAAGAGTGACAAAAATACACATGAATCATATAATATGAAAAAGTATCCATGACATCACTAATCACATTTGAAGTGAAGTGATGGATTCTGTTATGTCCTAAGAACACTTCATAGTTTTGGAATTCTATCATGCCATACTCATTACTGAATTCTTTTAAAGAAAAAAATAGCAATTCTAGAATTTGCCTATTGTTCTTTATTGATACTGACATCAATCAGTTCTGACAGTGTCACATATTTGTATACACCAGTGCTAAGTTCCATCTACTATAGAACTGTGGAGTGAATATTTTTCATCTATTTTCCAGATGGCTATAGACATTTATTAGTTTTTTCACATTATCCAATAGCTAATAATTTTGAAACAGTTTTTTGAGGTAAAACTGACATACAATATTTAAAGTATATAATTAGATCAATGTTAATCTGTTGAGCACATCTATGAAATCATGACCACAATTAAGATAACAAACA